AACTTTGCCCAGGTCCTCCTCCAACCCCACCCCCCGGCCTGTCACCCAACCCTGCCCCCAGCCCTGCCAACAACCACGGCCCCTTAAAGCTTCTGAAATTACATTTTTCTTTAGAATAAAGAGTCCATAATATAAAAAACTGCAATTATAACATAGCTTTATTATGTCAATTTAAACATAACAGCAATAGCTTAATAGCAATAGGGTGCAATCAAAATATCAAGTTTTACAGCTTTAAACCTGTAGTGAACATTTTGTATTTTTTTTTGTTTATCTCCTGCATCTTTAAAAAGAGACTTTGGTAAGTAAAGTCTTTTTTAAAAGATGTAAGTTTAGTTTACGGAAGTATAGCATAGGAAAAAGTGCTTATTTTTATGCCAAAAAACATGGAATAATAGTTACTATAAACATGTTGTATTTTTTATCTCCAGCAGAGAACATAGAGAAGTTTGGCATTAAGAAAAAAAAAAATAGTGCCTTTTTTGATGGCCAAAAACATTGTATAAAATAAATAACAATAGTAAACATTTAGCATTTTTTATCTCCAGCATCTTATTAAAAGAGAGCTTAGAGAAGTAATGCATTAAAAAAACCCAAAAAAGTTCTTATTTAGATACCAAAAAACATGGCATAACAATAGTAAACATGCATGCTGAAGTGCACAGTGCGCAGAAGTTGCCAGCTCTCTCTAGAGCGAATAGCTAAAGACCTCCAAACTTCATGTGGCCTTCAGATTAGCACAACAACAGTGCGTAGAGAGCTTCATGCAATGGGCGAGCAGCTGCATCCAAGCCTTATATCACCAAGTGCAATGCAAAGCATCAGATGCAGTAGTATAAAGCATGCCGCCACTGGACTCTAGATCCACTGGACTCTAGATCCACTGGACTCTATGTTCTCTGGAGTGACGAATCACGCTTTTCTGTCTGGCAATCCGAGGGACATGTCTGGGTTTGGCAGTTGCCAGGAGAACAGTACTTGCATGACTGCATTGTACCAAGTGTAAAGTTTGGTGGAGGGGGGATTATGGTGTGGGGTTGTTTTTCAGGGGTTAAGCTTGGCCCCTTCGTTCCAGTGAAGAGCGGAGACTGCGAGCCAGGCCTTCTCTTCCAACATCAGTGCCTGACCTCATATATCTGCTTCTGATAGAATGGTCAACATTCTCCTAAACCTTGTAGAGAGCCTTCCCAGAAGAGTTGATGCTGTTATACCTGCAAAGGGTGGGGCCAACTCAATATTGAACCCTACAGACTAAGACTGGGATGCTATTAAAGTTCATGTGTGTGTAAGGGCAGGGGTCCCAATACTTTTGGCAATATAGTGTATGTTGCAACTTACTAATAACTAGATGTGGTGGCTGAATTATTTTTCTTTTTTTTAGGCTTTTTTCCCCTCTGTTTTCACCTGGTGATCTGGCCAGGATCACACCTCCTGTATTATAGTGCCCCCCACTCTGAATGAAGGAGCATCTGGGGCACCTTTGAACAGCAGCATTGTCAGTTGCAAAGGAAGGCAGTGTTAGATGTACTAGCAGATTTATACACCAACATATTGAAGCCAAACTCCAGCTGACACTTTATAATAAATAACAGCAAACAGTTTTTTACCATTTGGGGAAAAGAGTTTATATAAATAAATAAGTAAATAAAAGCCGGTGTTAAACAGTTTGTCTCATTCCTGTAACTGTAAGAGAGCTTGTTCTTTTGAAAAACAACAGATTTAATGGCTGAAAAAAAGAAAGATGAAAGAAAACATTAAGGGCCAGTTCACACCACATGCAGTCCAGTGCATTTTTTTTCTGCATCAAAAACTAATTGATAGTAATTTACATGGTTTACAATGGCATAGTTCACTACCGTGCGTTTTTGAGGCATTTTACTGCGTTCCAGTGCGTTCCAGTTCCAGAAAAAAAAATAGACCATACTGAATTTTTTCTACACTGAACTGTACTGGAATGCAGTAAAATGCCTAAAAAACGCACGGGAGTGCACCTAAACACAGCACAAATGCACCGGAATGCACATGTCCTTATTTAAGTTGAAGAAAAAGAGAGGGGGAAAAATGAACCGGAGCGCATCAGAAATGCACATACAGAAGCGCATCCGGAACACATCCAGACTGCGTTTCTGTGGTGTGATCCAGCCCTAAAAAAATCTGCTTTAAAGTAATTGTAAACTTAAAAGTTGTTTTTCTTGTTACGTAGCAAACAGGTTTTTACTTACCTGCTCTGTGCAGCCCCAAACCTTCTCTCCTCAGGTTCCCCCACCGATGCTCCTGGCTCCTCCTCTTCTCGGTGTGCCACCATACAAAGCCACTTTCTATGGTGGCACACCTGTGGGCTCGATCCCAAGCCAGGTAAGTCCATAGACACAGACATTGCAGCTCAGCTCCACCCTCTGCTCCCTCATCATAGGATTTGACTGACAGTAGTCAGAGCCAATGACTTCTGCTGCCTCAGCAAAGCCTGGGAGACTTGAAAAGTGAGCGGCGAGATTTTCTGCACATGGGCACAGAGCTGGATTGATTGAGGACTCAGGTAATTGAAAGGGGGGGCAGAAGTGAGTATGGGGGGGGAGCAGTACTTTTACCTAAACATTTTTTACTTTTTTTTTTTTTTTTACCGAAATGCAAGGAATGCATTAAGGTAACGAATACTTAGGCTTTAGAACCAATTTATGCTTTGAATGCATTCTAAATAAAGGCCTTCAGACTAGCGGCACACATAAAATGTTGTGTTTACGAATGTTTACACTTGTAAATTAATTTCCTGCTGTTCACTTTAGGTAAAAATTCAGGTTATAATGGCCAAATTGTTAGGAACAAGCACAATGCTTGTATTCATAACTGTAGTATACTCCTGCAAGGGGAGGTATAATATAAAATGTAAACAGCAGTTCAGGTTCTGAAGTCACAGAGGATATAGCCAGACCCTGTGTTTGGATGCTGTCTGAGCTGTAACATCTCCTGGGTCACACCAATGCTTCCATTGGAAATTTCTTCTTTATGTCCCTGTTTTGGTGGAAACTCAAAATTTTGGATTTGACCTCATTTGCAGTCCTGGTGACAGTAGTCACCAGGACAACAAGATAGATAACGTTTTCCTAACAGGAACGAAGAAAGTGCTAAAACCTGACAGAGGTTTCAATCCTTCCTAACAGAAAAATACATTTTAGGTGTCACATCTTCCTGTGATATTCTCATGTGAAAATCCTACAACTACCTCAGTCTTACACAGTCTGAAGCTGCTGTTTTCACTTCTGCTTTTCCATCTTTATGGCTTTGTGTGAGAGACACAGTACAAGTCACGCAGTACAAGATTGATGTTGACCAGTACCTGTAACTTACTGCCCTTACAGATTAGAACTTAAAGTGTTACTAAACCCAGGACCCTGCATTCACTATATCTTGTCTCCCACAGTACACAGAACATGGAAGTGCAATTATTTTAGTAAATATAAACTGCTAAATACCTTTTCTCATCAGCAGTTAGAGCAGCCTTGTGACTTCTATCAGTGTCCAGCCCAGCACTGGTTAAATCTTGTAGGAGCTGTATTCATTCTGCTCTAGGAAGATGCAGGACCCCTGATCTCCATCTGGACAGTGCTGATTGTCCCTGTGCTGATCACATACGCTCTCCCAAGAAAAGAAAAAAACCCCTAGCAATACACACCAAACTGAGCATGTGCAGAGTGACTCCGTATGTCTTATCAGGAGATAAGAGGGGGGCACTGGAAGAAAGGGAGGATCAGAGAAGACAGGATCAACCAATGTTTTTACACAATGCAGGGGATTAACCTGTTAGGTAGTGAGTATAACAAGCATGCTTTACTACATATACAGACTGATTTTACTGTTGTGGGTTTAGTAACACTTTAAGAAAAAAAAAGTGACACTTTTCTGATTTAAAAAAAATCTATTCAAAAAATGTAGGTGAGTGGGAAGAAATGTTTGTTTTTGCTTATACAGTGAAAAACATGACTGTGTACGCTTTTCATTTATTAAAAAAAGCTTTTTGATTTTGCCTTGTAGGTGTCATTAGTTCAAAGTTAACAGTGGATTTTTATTTGGCATACCTGTCGATTTTGCTCCACACATGTACTTTTGTGATAAAATGACTCATGTAATTGCCAGAGTTGTGCAGAACCATGTTGTAAACACTGGCAGAGAAAAAAGACAAGCAAATGTACTTAGACTGTATAGTACTCTCCATAGGAGACTAGCCAGTAATAGTTTCCTTTCAGTTGTTTTACAGTTTGTCTCTGAAAAGATATTTGAAACGTGAGGATTTCAGTAGAACAAACAGATTTGTCTTTATTGGCAAACAGTCCCTTTCACACGCGGACTCCACTTGGATCAGCAGGGGATCTGTCTGCTGATTCCCTGCTGGTCAGAGCAGAGCGAGCGGATGACAGGTCGGTGTCCTCTTAGTTTATACAGAGCGAACATGGACCAAGCCTGCTCTGCTCTATGGACCAATGAGTGTAAACAAACTCCACTGTCCATTTACACCCAGCTGCCCTCCGATCTGATCTTCCTAGACAGAAGGGAAAAGATGCCCTTCGTCTTTCTTTTTAGTGGACTTGATCAGTTTTGAGGTAGGCGGATGTAAATAGGGACGAGTCCATTTACACCCGCCGGGCCATAAGAGTGAATAGAGGGTCCAATCAGGTCCACCTGAAAAACTTACAGATGGATCTGATCAGACCCTTTGTGTGAAACGTACCTAATGGTTTTTGTTTTAAACTTTGCAACATAGGGAATGAGTGTTACATAAATGGAGCAGTATTTTTGCAGCATTTTGAACCTTGTTATTTAACTTCAGATGCTGTGTGTTACTTTATAGAGTTTCCCTGTAGGGCTTGTATTGTGCATTTTATTTCGTAAAGTCTGTTGTGGGCATGTTCCTGCTTTATTATTGTATCTAGAATGTTTTGCACTTACCATTATATTCAAGGTGCACCTTCAAATAAAAAATACTAAATATATTTCCTTACTTCTAGGTACTCTCAACCACTTCATGAAGAGATTGCACTTCACAGGCACCTGAAACACAAAAACATTGTCCAATATTTAGGCTCCTTCAGTGAAAATCGCTTTATTAAGATATTTATGGAACAGGTGCCAGGAGGTAAGTTTTATTCAAAATATATGTGAACCTTTACCTTGTAAACCAATCCATTCTATTTAAAATAGAAATGCAAGACAGAGCATTTATGGATGTGTATAAATATACTGTATATATATATTTATATATTATAAATACCTTTTTTTTTTTTTTTTTTTCTTTTTTTTTTTAATAAGTTATAACATAATCTTTGTTCTCAGCAGTATAAGGAGCTTAGAGAGGTAGGGGTGGAGACTGCAGCGGGGCTCAGCAGATAAACAGCATAACAGCAGCAGTACGCTGATCTTCCCAGTGAAGAGCTGTGCGAGGGTGAGGGGGGTGTGCAGCATAACTCTGACCATTGGATGACAGGCAACCTGTGCTCCCAGTGCAGTCAGAAAACTGACCACGCGGAGATGGATGTACTTGTATGCCTAGCAGGGTCAGTTTGAAATATTAAAGCAGGAGGACTGGCAGAAGCGCCAAGAATTCCAAACAAAGAAATACAAAGAGAACAGGATATTTTTTTTAACACAAGTACGTGATACAACATGTACATATCAGGAATATGAAATAATAGGGTAACATACACTTTTAGTCAAAGAACAGAGACACATAAGAAGTATTCTTTGGTTCAACTCAGCGTGCTAGTGCAGCAATCCCCCTGTCGCGCTATTGTGTTCTGACATGGGTATCATCCCCCTGCCAGAACACATTGAACAGCGCTCACAGCCATTGTCTGCAAATGCTGCTCGAATGCCAGTTTGATGGTGCTTTTCCAGCATGCCTGTTCAACAGACCCGGTCTTGAGACTGGCTTCTTTTGTATTGGCAGCTGTACACATGGGTCGAAAGTCGGCTGGTTTCTGTCGAACTGGCTAATTTCGGCCAATATTTGCCCTGTATGTACCTGGCTTTACGGACCATAGCAATTTTTACATTTCTGCGGTGGTCCTGTTTATTCAGTGATAACTTTGATACTTAAAATAACAAAGTAATTGTTTTTTGAGGGAAATCTAGGCTTTTCTTTTTAGATCAGTGGTTCTTAACCTGGGTTCGATCGAACCCCAGGGGTTCGGTGAGTCAGTCTCAGGGGTTTCGGCGGAGGTGAAGACCCACACCCGACTCATATGATTCGTGCAGTAAATATTCATTATTATGTTTTTGTTTTTGTGTGAAAATCATGTTTTAATGGTTTTGTTCTTAACGGTTTTGTTCATTTTGTGCACCTATGTATAAATATATACCTAAATATATACCTATGTTTTGAATTTTAAAAATCATATTTTATTTTTCCAATTAAGAAGGGTTCGGTGAATGCGCATATGAAACTGGTGGGGTTCAGTACCTCCAACAAGGTTAAGAACCACTGTTTTAGATTATATTATTTTCTATGTCATGTATAGACAAAAAGATGACTATAGATTCAAGTAAATGGAGAAGCTACTTTCCACAAACTACATATCTATGTTCAGCAAAAATTTAATTGATAAAGGTCATTTCTTTCTTGTGCATTTGCCCAATCACTGTTTCTTTCAGTGACTTTTCAGTTTTTTGCTTTGCTGTCACTGCCAGTGGAAAGTTTGAGAGACTGAGAAATGCTAGAAGCGGTCATTTTCATTAGTCTAAAGAGATTTCAGAAACTGATGAGGTCTGAAGTGTGTGGTAGCAATTACCATAATGACTGAGTGAAAATCATTTGGTTGAAGAGCAGAACACATACAGTAGCAGAGTGTAAGATGAGACACAGGCAGGTAGTCATGCAGTGGTTTGTGGTTGCTGAATTGCAGCTGTTATTATTAGACAGGCCCTTGATTATGTGTCTAGAGATATATATAAGAGGACAGAGAGAAAAGCAAACACATAATGTTGCTGTAAATATAAGGTGTCAAATGACCTGCACAAACTTATTAGAATGAAAGTATGTAAGATCCTATCATTAGCATAATTGATTTGTCCTGGAAAAAAAATACACACTAAGTGGTACCAGATAATAAGATATTATGTTTTCAGGTGATGAAAATATTTATCATGTAAGTTCATTGTTATGCCTAAAGATAGAAAAAATTGACATGCAAAAAAGATCTTTAGTCCGATGGAAAATGGGCAAAAATTTCAAGCAGTACAGACCAAAATGTCTTGTTTCTGTTGACCACCGCTATGTTGACCATAATCTAATTTCTATAGGTAGCCTTTATTTGCTAGCTTACCAGAAAAAAAAAATCGATTTTTTTTACATTCAATCAAGTAGACTGTTACACTATATGGACACTCATCTAACAGATCAAAGCTTTGCAAAATCTTCCTGGTGTCACAAAAAGGCAAGTCTCTACAAGCTGCCCCAAAACTGCAAGTCTCTCATAATTTTAGGTAAGATGTTCTCAGGTTTTAAAAGTGAACTCTGGGGAAATGTTAAAACTACCCTTGCAGTTGGGCACTGCCAGTGTTAAATGCCTATGTTCTTCCAGTGGATCATTAAAAGCCGTTTTAGTTTAGTCCTCTTAGTGCAACCTATGCCCCCAAAGCCGCTCCTCATTGGCACGCTGTCTGTCGGTTACATTCTGAAGTCATCATGTATCATGCAGGACCAACATTCCTTCATTGTAAATGAGGACTTTGGAGGCCTACCCACAACCTGGAGCATCAGGGGAAAAAGGAGAGCATCAGCTGCCAGAGGTGCGAGGAATGAGATAAGTAAAACTGCTTTTTAACAGTACCCTAGACCAAAAGAAGAATTTAAGCCTTGCAGTGCGGAGGGGTGCCCCACTGCAAAGGTAGTTTTGAAATGTCCCTGAAGTTCAACTTTAAGTGTCTTCTGTGCTATTCGGTGCCTTGAAAAAGTATTCACACCCCTTGAAATGTTCCACATTTTGTCATGTTACAACCACAAACATAAATCTATTTTCTCGGGATTTTATGTGATAGACCAACACAATGCTGCACATAATTGTAAAGTGGGAGGAAAATTCTAAATTGTTTTCAAATTTTTTTACAAATAAATATCTGAAAAATGTGTTGTGCATTTGTATTCAGCCCCCTTTACTCTAGTACCCCTAACTAAAATCTAGTGGAACCATTTGCCTTCAGAAGTCACCTAATCAGTAAATAGAGTCCACCTGTGTGTAATTTAATCTCAGTATCAATACAGCTGTTCTGTGAAGCCCTCAGAGGTTTGTTAGAGAACATTTAGTGAACAAACCACAGCATAAAGGCCAAGGAACACACCAAACAGGTCGGGAATAAAGTTGTGGATAAATTTAAAGCAGGGTTAGATTATAAAAAAATATCCCAAGCTTTGAATATCTCATGGAACACTGATCAATCCATCATCCGAAAAAATGGAAAGAGTATGGCGCAACTACAAACCTACCAAGACATGGCAATCCACCTAAACTGACAGGCCAGCCAAGGAGAGCATTAATCAAAGAAACAGTCAAGAGTTCCATGGTAACTATGGAGGAACTACAGATATTCACAGCTCAGGTGGGAGAATCTGTCCACCGGACAACTATTAGACGTGCACTCCACAAATCTGGCCTTTATGGAAGAGTGGCAAGAAGAAAGCCATTGTTGAAAGAAAGCCATAAGAAGTCCCAGTTTCAGTTTGCGGGAAGCCATGTGGGGGACACAGCAAACATGTGGAAGAAGGTGCTCTGGTCAGATAAGACCAAAATTGAACTTTTTGGCCTAAAAGTAAAACACTATATGTGGCGGAAAACTAACACTGTACATCACCCTGAACAAATGCCCACCATGAAACGTGGTGGTAGCATCATGGGAAAATTGATTGAGCCAAATACAGGGCAATTTTGCAAGTCTGCAAAAGACTTGAGACTGGGGCGGAGGCTCACCTTCCAGTAGGACAGCTACCCTAAACATACAGCCAGAGCTAAAATGGAATGGTTTAGATCAAAGCATATACATGTGTTAGAATAGCCCAGTCAAAGCCCAGACTTAAATCCAGGTGAGATGGCAAACTTGAAAATTGCTGTTCACAGACACTCTCCATCCAATCTGACGGAGCTTGAGCTATTTTGCAAAGAAGAATGGGTAAAAAAATGCACTCTCTAGATGTACAAAGCTGGTGGAAACATACCAAAAAAGACTTGCAGCTGTAATTGCAGCGAAAGGTGGTTCTACAAAGTATTGACTTTGGGGGGGGTGACTGAATACAAATGCACGCCACACTTTTCAGATATTTATTTGTAAAAAATTTTGAAAACTATTTATCATTTTCCTTCAATTTCACAATTTTGTGTTGGTCTATCACATAAAATCCCAATAAAATACATTTACATTTTTGTTATAATGTGACAAAATGTGGAAAATTTCAAGGGGTATGAATACTTTTTCAAGGAACTGTATATCCCATTGTAACTTTTTATCCCAATTTGCAGTAAAATTGTCATTAACTGTCTGTGACTGATGTACACTAGTTTAGAGAAATTTACGTAAAACGGTTGTAAACCCGTACATATGCCCAGTGAAGTGACTGGCCTCAGGTATTACATAGAAGTTAAACAAATCCTCCTACATAGGTTGTGCCTGTTTATCTGCAGCCTTTTCTTTTCTACATGCATTTAAAATGCAGAATTTACATAGGATCAGAGAAGTGGGGGGCAGGGAGCTGAAGTCACAGATCCCAGTGAGGGAAATTTGAGCCCTGATTGGAGGGAAGGAACACACCCCCTACACAGCACACAGGACCAGAGCTGAGGCTGTCAATTTTTAGGCTGTGTGCTAGAGCTCCCTCCCCTGTCACCTTTTTACCTCTTGGTGTCAAGAAAACTTGTCAGAAGTGATTCATGCAGATAGCAGAGAAATGGGCAACAGACAGAAATGACACTTAGTGTCCTGGAACAATTACACACTCAGGGGTAGGCAACCTTCGAGAGGTAGAGATCTACCTGAACAACATGAAAGAGATCAAAGATAACCAGGGTTTGACACCCTTTTTTTTTAAAAAAAAATAACTAAATAGACCTAACTAAATAGAAAGGAAAACTTAGAAAAATATAATAAAAT